TGGATTTTCTTTTCATTCTGTTGGTGCTTTCTTTTGATGTACAAAAACTTTTCAATTAGATGAGATCCCAGTTGCTCATTCTTTGAAGTATTTCCTGTGCAGATTTAGTTTTGTTCATAAACTCTCTGCATACCCCTATGTCTGCAAGATTTCTACCTACTTTCTCTTCCAGTAGATTTAGTGTTTCTCTTTTAATATTTACATCTTTGATCCATTTTGACTTTAGTTTAGTGTATGGTGACAGACATGGGTCTAGTTTTAATCTTTGGTATGTGGAGAGGCAATATTTTCATATATTCTTCCCTATCATATTATTCTGTCATTTAGATTTTTAATTTTCTAGGCAATAAGTTAAGCTTTACATTTTTGGTAAATTTTTTTAAATTTCCATTGCTTTTCTTGTCAGATTCTATCAGTGGTTCAGATCCAGACTGTCCAGAGAAACAAACCCTATTTAAACCAATATATTATGTTTGTGTGTGGGCCGGGCAGTTTATAGAGCAAAAGACAGAGAGATTATCAGCAATTGACTCATACCTTTATGGAAGCTGGAAGTCCCTCAGTCAGCTGTCTGTAAATTAGAGACTCAATTGGAAATACAGCTGATCTTATTTCTTGGTCTATGAAGAACCTTAGTGGAAGTGATTCCCCAGGGACAATGTAAACATTTTATAACTGAGAAGATTTTCACAAAAATGTCGCTGTTATTTTCTAGTAGCAGTTGTACAGGCTATTGAAGTGTAAACATGATCACAACTACTGTTCAGTAGTGAAATACTGCTTGCCAAGTTAGTAGCTCAACATTATTTTAGATTTAGGAAGGGTAGCTTTACTTTATCAACAGTTATCCAAAATACCTCATTCACATATACAGTCATATTATATTGAATACATGCTCTTTTAGCCCTATCCCAGTTCTTCAGTGTCTTAGGTCCAGGGTCTGCAATTAAGAATTGCCTCACACAATTCATTCCTGTGTCACTCATCTACAGCAGAATTGCTATATGAGGATTACTTTTGCCTGAGAGTGATATTTGACAATATCTAGAAACAATTTGAGTTGTCATAACTGGAGTCAGGGAGTGCTGTTGGCATCTAGTGATAAGAGATAAGACGATGTTGCTAAAGATCTTATCACACATAGAACACTCAGTCCTAACAAAGAAGGATCCAACCCAAATGCCCAGAATTCCAGTATCTACGGAAACTGCCAAGAAGGTAAATAGTTGGTTAAAGTGTAGGATACAAAGCAGAAAGTTTGAGAATAAAACAAGGAGTGTGTGACAAATAGGTAAAGAAGAAATTAAATAAAATGAGAAATGTGATATCCAGAAACAACAAAAATTGGGCAAGTAAGTGTAACCATAAATTGGAAACAAATTCTCTAGACATCACCCTCTGTGCTCATAGGACTTGTATAACCAACTATTTACCCTCTTGGCAGTATAAAGCTGGCCAAGTACATAGCTGCGTTCTTAACAAAGCTGCGCAGAGAGTAAATAGTGACTCTCGATAATGCTGACAAAAAAGTGATGGGTTTTAGAGTAGGGTAGAACTCTTAATGCATTTTAGTTATTTGAGGGAACAATGGTCTGAGAAACTATGTGAGAAATCTCTGACAAAAATAGCACATATGCATCTAAGGGAAAGATATACAAAACTATAAAAATAATTTTATAAATTGATAATGTACAAGTTAATTTCTCTAATTTTATTTTTAAAACTTTTTCTTTCCACAATAATGTGAAATATTTTTAGGAAATATAAGTTTTTTTCTAGAAAACGATGGTTAATTTTAAGTGTCAACTTGACTGTAGATGGTATCCAGCTACTGGGTCAAATAATAATCATTGTTGTGAAGCCATTCTGAGATAGGCTTCAAATTTAAAATTAATTGACTTTAAGTACAGGAGATTGTCCTTCGTAATGGGAATATGACTCAATTAGTTAGTTAAATAGACTTAAAGAGGAAAAATAGACTTCTTGGAGAAGAAAGTAAAATTGCTTTAAGAATATAACAGAAATTCTACTTAAGATTTCTGCCTACCAGCCCCCAAAATCATGTCAGTTGATTTAGAATTCTTCTCTCTCCATACAAAAGTCTCCTCTAAGGAAAGGGCAAGTACTCAGTTGCACTGAATATCTTATTTACGTTTTGACTGCTATAATAAGATTTCATAGGTGGGATGGTGCCAGCAATAGACATTTCTTTCTCACTTTCCTGAAGATGGGGAAGCACAAAGTCGAGGAACAAGCCAGTTCACTTCTTGGAGAGGACCCTCTTTCTGGCTTGTATATGGCGGGCTTCACTCTGTAGTGTCACATGGAAGAAATTGGGGTGCAGGAAGCAAGCACTCGTACATCTTCTGTATGTGAACTCTTAGAGGGAGAGTTTGATCTTCAAAACTTAATTACGTCTCAAAGGCCCCATCCCCAAGTGCCATCACAACTGGGATTAGGGTTTCAACATATAAGTGGGAGCAATATGGAGAGGCACAAATATCAAGTCCAGAACATGCATTAAGAGAGACCATTGAATAGCAAAAAACAGGGGACTAGTGAAGTTGCAAGACATTCACATCCCCATTGAACAACACATCATGCTACCAACCAAGCTGTTAATAAGGTAAGGGGAAGAGCTCCAAGTTCTTGCAGAAGGAAAGAGTGCTTTCCTCAAGGAATTTTTGGTGTGCCTCCAAAGAGGAGTGTTAAAAGTGAGATTCTAGGCTCAGAAGACATAAGGGAGGTCTTTCAAGGCAGAGAGCTAATTGGCATTGGGAAAATTTATTAAAAAGTAGTTTAGAATTAGAATAAAAAGAATAGTTTAGAATTTAGAGAGCAGAGAGGGGTATTGAAATAAGTTTCTTGACAGAAGAATTGTTGCATAATTAGACAACTGCTTATCCTGGCCTTCAGATTATTGTAGTCAATAAATCAATCTGTAAAAATTCCCTGAAGCAGTGCATGGAATCCTGCTCTGGTTTAATCTTATTTTTCCCTTAAATTTTCCTGAAATGAAAAACTGATTGATGCTGCTACAGGAAGTGTAAAGCATTATGTTAAGACTTTTGAACTCAGCTGTTATTTTCTTTGGTTTGAATTCTTTTTCTTCAGTGTAAATAAGAAACAAAGAGAACAACATTGATAGAATACAAGATGGAGAATGGAAATTTTAAAAAAATCAATCACTTCCATACCTCTAATCTTTTCCAACCTATGGTCTATGGGACAATAAGATAAGCCAGAGCTAAAAGCAAAGGAAGAAGAAACTGTGATGTGGTTGAAAGACTGTTTCCAAATGCCTACTGGATTTTATTTAGTTACAAATATGAATTGAAATATTCTGATATTGAATATTCTGATATTGAAATATTGAAATTGAAATATTTCTTACTGTCATGATATGATCATTGATATCCTTTTTACAGTATTCAGAGATTTATAGAAGCTATGGCCTTCTAATCAAGTATGAAGTTCAGTGCTTTTAGAAAATGAAGTAATTTTCCAATTTTATCCTAGAGTTCATTTTTCTTAACATATCAGTTATAATTAAAGATAATAATTCTCAGATCTTTCCTATATAGAGTTATATAGTTAAATTTTCATTCAGTGGATCTTATATAGGGTTTGACATAATTGACTTTTAATCAAAGGAAGGAAAACAAATTATACTAAAAGTAATTCATGGAAGATTCCATGTTATAATTTATCACTTCACCATTGTTTACTTAGGATCAGAGTAAATATCATGAACTTGAAAGTTATGGAGATGTTGGTGGTACTTCCTTCTTCTTCAGAGAGCAGCATGGATCAACTGTTCTAGCAGCCTCTCTCTGAATCTACCATCACGTTCATGACAAAGGACAAGTTGGCCTCTTGTTCTTCTCAGGGACAGTAAGGCTGGCCCATTTTGTAAGACTTGGGACTCTTTGGATAGGGGACTTGCTGAAATATTTTTAGCAATTTCTTCTGACACCATTGTCTGCATTCCATTTCCTCTGTCCTTTACTGAGATCAGACCTACTCACTGTATAGCAAGGTGGCTCTTTCAGACCTCTTCAACTGCCTTCCCATTTTGCTTCACTAGTATTTTCAGCAACAAATCCCTTTCCTGGCTAATCCCATTTGGAAGTGGTTTTTCAAAGGATACCTACTGAGTATATACTTTGGTAAGATTTGTTTAAAGGCAGTGGTAACTTCAGCTTTCTGTTTTTTTTTGTTGTTGTTGTTTTTTCTCCGGTACTGGGAACCGAACTCATGCCCTTGCGCTTGCCAGGCAAGCGCTTTTGCCGCTGAGCTAAATCCCCAGCCCCCCAGCTTTCTGTTTTGAATAGTGAATTTTACATGCTTTTCTCAAACTTTTTGGAAGTCCTTCTTTGTGTTTCCAATCAAATCTTCTGTTTATATTCCCATAACTAGCCATATTTTCATAAGCTAGAATTTTATTCATCTGAGCTTCTTAATGGCAGAAAATGTGTATCGTTGTTTAGCACAATGTCTGGTTAATAATAGGAACTCAATAAATAGTTCTCAATCTGTTCTCCTACTGTGTGTTAATGTACTCATTAGGAAAGAAGTGTCTCTCAAGATATATGAGATACGCGGTATATTTTAAATTCCTTCTTAAGTTCTTATTTTCTGCCCAAGACAACATTAACTAAATACATAAATCAGAAAACACAAAACACGAAACTGGACACAGTTAAAATTATTGTATGTATTCAATAACTGTTTCACATAGGAAAATAGAATGCCAGAATTCATGGTACAGAAAAAGTTTATTTAAATATATATGAGTGAAAAGGGAATAACAACAGAATTTCTGAGTGACAGTAATAGAAGTGATTTTAAGCAATGGCATAAGAATTAAATTCTAGCTATTGCCCTGATGAAAGGATAAAGTTCTATCAGATGCAGAACTGAGCATGAGAATGTGGAGAATATTCAGTAAATTGATCCAAAAAAGCGAGAGACGAGAAGGCTGATTTTTGGAAACCAGTTTACTGGAAACTTCTGGTAGAAGAGTAAGCTGGGCGGTAGAAGCTAGATCCATATCCCAGATACTGATAGCTAGTGTTTCTACGATCAAAAGATCCAAAGCCAATGTTGCCATAGCCAAGGGATCCAATGAAATTTGTCTGGCAAGGACTGGAGGAGATGAAATTATTTGGGCGGACAAAAGATGTTTGGAAGGATCTGGTCCCAGTACAGGATGCCTGGCTGTTGATGGGCTTGCAAAAGCTCTCCTGTTGTCCTCCATAGCCAGAGAAGCCCAGCTGGTAGGTCTTTGGAGGGATGATTACATTGCTGGGGTAGACAGAATTATAGGTGGAAATTGAAGGCCTCAGGAAACCTCCAAGGGATGAGGAGGAGAAATTTCCAGAGCTGAAGTTGTAAGACATGTTGTCAAGACACCTGAGTTCAGCTGGAGTACAGGAAGAAGTGTGTGAGTATGACTGAGATCATCCAAACTGGGTACTTATATACCTTAGAAATGGGTGTAATCACATTCTCATCTTAATGAGAATATTTAATTAGGCTTCAGTAAAATAAAATTCATTAACCTTCAAAGACCTTTTTTATGAATGCAGACTTTTAATTGAAATAATTTCATTAATTGTCCAAAGCAATTGTTCACGGGAAAAAATAAAATGCCTATCTCAATCATCTACCTTGGGTAGAATAAAAACTACCACAATTGTATCTGTATGAGTGAAGTTTTATTTACTCTGTCATTTAAGATATTAGATCAAAAGGAATAACACTTTGAGAATTCTGTTGTGTTTAAAGCTCTGACATGTACTTTTTAGGAGATAATTACATTACGCTAAGTTTAAGAACCCAACTGAGCACAAAAAATAAATTCTCCTTATATTTTCTTTCTCCCAACTCTTGTGCATTTTATGAAGAAAAGCACATCTTAATTGACAGAAATGCTAAGTGAGTAGACAGTAAGTCTGGGTTTAGTTTCCTTATAACACAAATAGCCGAAATACTTTTGCATATATGCTTAAGAATGAACCATCCAAAGACTGAGGAATGCGTGCTTTCAAGATAACATTGTAATTCCCTTCCCCACTTTCTTCCTTTGTTGTTGCCATGATGGCAAACCCAGCATCTTGTGCATGCTAAGTAAGTGCTTTGCTGCAGAGTTTCAGCTCCTGTTGCTAGTTTCTTGGTGAAAGTAATCATTAGGTACAGCAAACATGTACTGATAAAAATACAAAATTAAATAAAATAAATCAAAATGAAATCCTCCAAATCTGATTCTTGAAACAATGTCAGCAGTAAGTTCAACATACTTGCTTAGCAAATGCCCCATGTCCATAAAGTTTCAGTATTCTTTCTTGGAGTTGATGCTATTGAGGGTAAAATAATATGCAGTATACAGAAAGAGTGGAAGAATCAAGGATCTGGAAAATTCAGAGTTACAAATAACAAATTAAAATGTGAGTGAGAAAGGGTATCAAAACAGATGGTAATGTGAAATAGAAAATGAATGCCTTTGGGATATCTGAAGGCCTACATTTGTTAAGTGATATACACAAGCTTCACAAAAGATTATGTGGTATGAAGACTTTGTGGACTTTCCTATAAAATTTGTCTTAGCAAACTAAGCAAACTAAGTAGAGGTAACGTATAACTCTAAGAAATGGTTTAAACACATTTGAGCATAGACAAAATTCTTAAACTACTCATCTTTAAAACTGACAAACTGTATAATGAAAATGAGTCAAAATTCATTCTAAGAAGAATTAGGACTATTAAGTAGAAGATTTAAGGAAAGTCTAAAATGATCTGCTTTGATAGACAATAAGATTTCCATCCAGGGTTCTGAGAATATTTGATGAGACTTCTGTAAATGGATCAGATTACATCAGTCAGACGCAAGGCTAGAAACTTTTGCCAAACTCTCTTTCAAATTGTTGATTTTATCAGCCTGAACATTTTGAGTTGACAAACTGTTCTCCAATCATATTTCATCTGTTAAGTAACACAGCATGTCCTCTGTTTCTGAAATAAACCATTTGTGTTTATTAGGGCTCTTAATTATAAGTAACTGGAACATTGTAACAGTTTCCAAACCTTCCTGTTTTGTTTGTCAATAAATCATTGAACATCAACCACCACTAAATATTTAATTCAGGTCAATTGAATTTCCTTGCTTGTTTCAATGTCATCTGTTCTTATGTAAAACATTTTGCTAGAAAAATATTCTGTGAGATCAGATATTATGTAACCTTGAACATTCTTTTCTGAAAACAGAAAACAAATGATTTGCATCCAAATACCTTTGCCCAGAGAGGAAAGAAGATGCTTTTCTATGACACAAACAAATCAAACAGCACAGAACCACAGAAGAGAAACCTCAGTATCCACTTCTCTTGCAGGCATCAGTCTTCATTACTTTATATCACAGTATTGGAACACAGATCTTGAAATAATAAAACATAGGATCCTTATTTTTGAAAAATTGTAATATTTATCAGAAGCACATGAAAACAACTTCGGTCAAAGTGATGTGTTGTTTCCTTAGGCAGAGGAAGAATCTCCTTAAAATGCTTTCTTTGGCCCAGCACTTCAAGGCATTTACTCTATTTTTTTTAGAACAAGAATATCTTCCAAATTCTAGGAAATACTTCCAGTGGAAAACACTATTTAAAGATAGAAATACATTGTGGACTTTTCCACATGTTTTCTTCTCTTTCTCTCTTTTTTCTTTTTTTGGCTTTTTCAATATATTAGACGAGTAATCTCTAATACTTCAAAATAGCATAAAACAATTTACAGTATTTAGCTCATAGAACAGTAAAGACACAAAGAAAAGCTAAGACTGGCCCTTAGAAACCCCCATACAGTTTCAAACATCAGTACAAAAGAAGAGAACCCCTGAGTTAATTTTTCATAAATTCATTTAGATTGTGGACCAGTTAAAATAGGAATCTGTATACAACTTGCATATCAATGCTTCTGCTTTCGGGGGGGACACTATTCATTTAGTGAGTTTGCCACTTTGAAGCGAAAATCGACTATGAATAGATCAGTTAACAACTTTGCTAGCCAGATGGCAACAATTTTGAGGCAGATTGTGAAACTGGTATCAATTATTTTTAATTAGGCAGCTTCCCTCTGCCCAAACACTATCTGCCTCCGAAGCAATTCTCTGAGTGATCCAAAGGGTGACCTCTGCTAAGGGAAGATGAATAATGGCTTTGAAGATTCAACACTATTGCTTGAATTCCAAAGTCACGAACATTACCACGCTTTCTTGTTGTAAAACCACAAAAACTAAGTATGGATGACTATAATGATCTTTTCAATTCAATTAGAAACAGCCAGTAACTTGTTTTCATGAGCCATGGGGATGACACACCCAAGGGTAAGGGTATATAAATGCCCCAGCCCAAGGAGCAACATTCAAATTCAGAACATCGTCTTCTAGAGTACCTTCTCCTGTCAACATGTCCTACAGCTGCTCTTCTGGAAACTTCTCCTCCCGCTCTTTTGGGGGCTACCTGCAATACCCACGCCCCTCCTGCGGCTCTTCGTATCCTGGCAAGCTGATCTACAGCACTGATCTTCAAACTCCCATCACCTACCAGCTGGACTCCCCTGTCCACAGCGGATGTCAGGAAACCTTCTATGAGCCCACCAGCTGCCAGAGGTCCTTTGTGGTGTCCAGGCCCTGCCAGACATCCTGCTACCGCCCGAAGATCTCCACCTTGGGCAATACCTGCCAGACAACTTTCTCAGGATCTCTCGGCTTTGGGTCTAGGGGCTTCCAATCTTTTGGCTGTGGCTCCCCTTCACTGGGCTTTGGATCTACTGGTTTCCAATCAGTGGGCTATAGACCCCACACTTTCTCATCCTTAAATTGTGGATCCAACTTTTACCGCCCAACCTACTTTTCTTCTAGAAGCTTCCAGTCTACTTCTTTCCAACCTACCTGTAGATCTGGCTTCTATTAGCCATATATTTTAGGAATCAGAATTTTAGGCATAATTCCTATTATCATAAGATTAATACTATCTCTTGATCGCCTATCTTCATTAGCTAGACGTTAGTCTTCCACTTTTACTCTCATGGATTTGGAGTGATTGGAATTCCAGGAATAGGAAAATATATTCATTGGAAAGATACCCAAATTGTTCTGCTATCCTTATATAACTATGCAATAGCTGAAGTAGATTTTTTTCTTAATGTATCTTCTTATTATTTTCCCTAGCACATTTGTCTTAAGTTTTACAGTGAAAAATGTTATACACTTAAATAAAACTATTACTTGAACTTTATATGTATTGGGTTTTTTTCTGGTCTTAAAAACTGCTTCTAAATATCTGCCTGAGATTTTCTGTATCGTATAATTATCATTAAAGAACCTGAAAAGAATGAATTCATACATTTTTATTTGCAATGTTTTTATTGTTTGTGTTAACTCCACGAATATCTTCACATAATAAAATGAAAAATACGCATTTTTAAGACAACAAATGAACTTAAAATGATAGCTCTTTGTTAAACAGTTGTAAACATGATGATAATAATTTAGAAGAAATATGAATTTGAGTGTAAGGCATTATTTTGAAGGAATAGTCCTCTTTTGAAATATATACAAAACTGGAGCTTGAATACCCAGTAATACGTTAGATATTAGTGAGTTGGATTTGGTGGAGAGTCCAGTTCCCATACCCTTACTCTAGGGCAAAAATTAAAGTCTTTTCATAAAATCTCTAAAATATTTATTAGCAATCAGGTCAAACATTTTGAATATAATTGTTCTATAATCTGATGAAATCTGAATGTGTGCTTATGCTTTCATTGTTTATTTAATAGCTCTTTTTTGAAAGACAAAAGAAAACTTTTCAAAACCAATGGAAATATTCTCTTGTTGCAGGATTCAGCTAAATATAAGTCAGGGAAAACACTGTTAAAGACAGATGAGTTACATTCTTACTCACAGGATCACGATATGTCTTGGTTTATTCTTTTTTGTTTCAACAGCCAGTGGCATCAGGCAATAGACCTGGAGTTTTACTCTTTGGTAGTAACCAAGAGTCTCATAAGTGATGATTGCTTCAGGGGTCTCTGCTTTACTTTTTCCACGCATTCATCTAGTGGTGTAAAAGGAGCTTGTACAGTGAAAATATTTTTCTTTAAACCACTGTCAAAACCTAAAGGAGATTAAACATCCCTCCCAATTGTCACTTTTCTTTCAACCTACAGAAAGATCACATATACAACAAATTACACTCAACGACAAGGTATTGGAGACTCTACACTTCTACACTTTAAACAAACGACCCTTGTGGTGGCCCCTTTGGTCTAGTCAGCAGTGCCCATTCCAACCCCAGAGAGACACAGCACTCTCTCCTAACCCACCAGCAGGTGGAGGTCGCGGGAAATTTGAGAGTCACTGGTTAGGTGTACATAGAATATGGGCACCTAAGTGGTGAAAGTGGTTCTGCCTCTGAGAATATGAACGGTGATCTGAATGCTTTTGCCACAGTGCTTTGGGCATATATTGTTTAAATAATCCATTGTTTATTTTATTGTTTGAGAGGAGTACTTCTTTTGTAAAAATTGATCCTTTTATAAACAATACCTGAGGAAGAGTTCATTTGACTGGGGTAAAAAATAAGCACCACAATTACTAAAACAAGCTAACAAGTTGAGGGTGAGTACCTAATCCACTTAGTAATTCAATGATGTTTATTTTTCACATGAGAGTATGTGATACTACTAATCCCATGAAAATGACTAATCTTACTGAGGATGTAGCAGTATCTACTTCAAAGAAAGGTCATGAAGAACTGCTTCCAAGGTGATTATCTGGGGCTGGGGATTTAACTCAGCGGCACAGCCCCTGCCTGACAAGCCCAAGGTTGTGAGTTCAACTCCCGGTACTGGAAAAAAAACAAAAAGAAAAAACAAAAACCAAAGGTGGTTATATATAATTAGCAGTTGCAAAAGAGTATGTTACCGTGTTACTGTGACCCAAAAACTTTCATTTAGGTTAAGGAATAGTTTGAAATCATTTTCATTAATGTTAACTCCTAAGTTTTCTTGTGCATGTACACAAAAAAAGAATAGTGATGATATTCTATTAACAGAGAAAAACTTCTCACTAAGGTAAAATAAAGTTAGTTTCATATCAGAATTGTCAAGTGTCTCAACTATAAAATCAATTCCAACGATTTGATTTCTTTACTTGGTTGAAAGAAACTGAATAAAGCTACAGAGCTTTGAGAATTTTTAACAGTGCTAAATGTAACATTTTTTTTAAAAAGTTCAACAGTGAGGATACAATTTTTGGTTGTCTCAGTAATAGGAATCACAAATTTTGTTGAAGATTGACATCATGGGAAAGACAATAAAGTAATAATCAAATGAAGAAATACACTTTCAATTGTGTTAAATACGACTCACTACTGATTATCCAAGTAAGTTTCCATGTTCTACCAATTAACATGCAAAGTATCATTTCAAAAATGTAAAATTAAAAAATTCTCTATATTGTAAATTATGTTAGTAGTCAGTGCTTTTCCTTACCTTGTCAATCAGAGATTTTACTTCTATCCATTGTCTTCTTACCTTTAAACGCTCATTTTGTGGATTTTTGAGTCACGAGTGTTATTTGATAAAGGAAAGCATATTTACAGAGCTTTCTTCTATCATTTGTTTGAAGTATATATTCTTTCACAATAGATCTTTTTCTCATTCCTTAGTCTATTTCTGCACCCATCATGGTATTTACCCAAAGACTGTTTCATGATTTTTCTCTGACTGGCCACACTCTCCTTCAGTCTTATTCACCAAAATGGGATCTAGGCTATAGTATAGTGCGATATCACCAGAGCTTGGCAGTTTCACTACTCTTCCTCATATTTTTCAATACCATTTTTAAAAGGGCATAGTATTTACCATCTATAGTAGTAAATCTGAATAAGCTGATAGTAATAATGATAACTTAAGTTAATAACATAAAAATGTGCCATAGAACATGGTTTCTCTGTCATTTGATACAATTGCTAATACAAATGCTTATGAAATAAATCGTGTTAACTTCCTTGGAGCTCTTGCCCTGAGCTAAAGTTTTTATTTTTATTTTTTGTTGTGCACAGTACACAGGAAAAATGCATTAGGCTAATGAAATACATATAATAATAATGATAATAATCAGGAGAAGCAATTTCCATAACACAGAACTGAAGAATAGCGGTTATATATTCAAAGTAAATAAATAAAAAGTTCAGGAAAGAGCAACAAGACTAGATTCACATAGGAGTTCAAATTTTTCTATGTTTTTTTTCGGTACCAGGAATCAAACTCAGGACCTTACACTTGCCAGGCAGGCACTTGTGTTGCTGAGCTACATCCCCGGCCCACTTCTAGGTCTTTAATCAATAAAAGGTTTGAAAAATTTCCAGTCCTTTTTAAGCCTACTTTTCCTCATTTCTGTAAAGGTCCATAGTTTACAGTCTTTATTTATTTCATGGGGGTGGTTGAATGTCACTTGAAAATTGCATATCTTGTATGCTGCGATCCCAGGGAAAGCTGTGGTAATTTTACAAAGATTTCAACTACTGCTGTGTGAACAGCATTCCCCAAAGTATATATAACATTTCTTTGACTCTTGCCAGGGGTCACACTAGAATAAATAAGGGTCCTGCCCTGATTCCACTGTTACACAGTTATGAGGTTGCATAAAATTATACTTCTTAGATGCTTTTCAAACAGTGAAAGGTAGAAGCTAATGAGGAAATGCTTGTTGCTCTTCATCAGATCCTAGGGTGGACGATTACACGTCATTCTGCATGCTCCTAAAATGTCCGGTATTGAATTTCAGCTGCTCTTATCAAATGATCTAAAAATATAGCCTTTTTTATTTTCTTCTTTGATTCTTTTACCTTCTATGATCTCATATTTTGTTCCTGGGGTCCTGTGCTAAGTAAATGGTATCTGTCTTTGATTTTTTAGCTCTGCATCCAAGTCTTTGATTTTAGCTCTGCTTTAGGTACTAAATATAGACTGATGAATAAAATGTTTGCTCAATACTGAGGTAAAGGTGTGTTGCTCTTAGCTTCACCGAACTTGTGCTTGGAAAAGCACCATGAGGTTACCCAGACATACACCATAAAGCTAGCCAGTTCCATCTAAGATCATTGTGATTCTTTGTGCCTGTGGTCTGGAGACAATGCTTCAGGAGACCATAGCGGCAGGAGGCAGGGATTCTGGCAATTATATCAACCAAGAAAGGGTAAAGTCTCTACCCTTATTTTTGTCTGGAATGAAAACCTACAAACCTCAAATACTAGATCTTTGTATGTATTTGCCTAAATATTCAGCTCACCTTCATTTCCAGTGTCTAAAACTTTCCTTATCTTTCTGTGTCAGGAGAAATGTGTGTTCTTCAGTCTCAGGCAATTTTCATTGTTATTGTGATGACTGTACACACACAAGCAATGGTTACACAAACGTTATTACTGCTGGTAGAGTACATGCCCAACACAGACAGATATTTGCTCAAATCAAATTTTGTGTTTGCAAAACCTAGTTACAGGGTCTCATTGATCTTGATTATATAAAGCTATAGCAAAGATAATAATAATATGAACATCATATTTAATTGCTAGATTACATAATTTTATTAGATCAGATTTTATCTTTCAATTTTTTGGATGAAAATGTAAAGCTGTTGAGGAAAGAAGGAAAAGATAGTATAAGTGGTAGGAAGGAAAACAGAGGCAGTATTGAGTGTAAAATGTGAACTCAATACTCATAGGATATTGGCACTTAACAAGTGAATCCATAAAAGCCAGAGCCACAGGTTGGTCTGTAACAAGGAGACTGGAAGGTTCTGGAAGTTAAGAAATTTGGACGGCAGAACCCAGACCCATAACCAAGAGAAGGGAAGGCACGGACTCCATAACCCACGGATCCAAAGCCACTGGAGCCACAGCCTGAGGAGTAGCAGCTCCTTGACCTAGAGCCCAGGGAGTGGCAGCTGCTGGACCCAAAGCCCAGAGATCTGGAGTAAATCTTCCGGCAGGGGCTGCGCCTGTAGCGGTAGCAGGACGTCTGGCAGGGGCTGGACACCACACAGGACCTCTGGCAGCTGCTGGGCTCACAGAAGTTCTCCTGACAGCCACTGAAGAGAGAGGAGCCCAGCTGGTAGTTGATGGGAGACTGGAGATCAGTGCTGTAGACAAGGTTGCTGGGGTAGGAAGAGCCACAGGAGAAGCGTGGGTATTGCAGGTAGCTCCCAAAGGAGCGGGAGGAGAAGTTTCCGGAGGAGCAGCCGTAGGTCATGTTTCGATGAGGTGTGAGTTCAGCTGAGTGGAACTGAGAAGGCTGTGAGATTTCATGTTACCTTCTGGACAGGAGCATTTATATACACTCAGAATCACGGGTGGTACCCAGCAGGGTCAACCCCCACATACTCATACTCTGTTGTTTACAAATGCTTCACTCAGTAGTCTCTTCCTAATTGCAGTTGCATTTGAATAGTTTTCCACATAGTATATTTATGGGCTCTATAAAACTATTGTTACCAAGAAATCCAGTGAACCCCTCCTATGTCAAAAATGCTATGACTATTTTATATTGTTGCCTATTTCATCATAGCAAGGGAAGCCCTTCCTAATTCACTCTTATGATGCCTGCCTTGTTTCCTATGTATTTACATTTGGCTTTACTGATGAGATTTTTTTCTGAAAACTGAAGAATAAGATAATATTAAGTTTTGAGGTATAGTTGATCTGTTTCTGTCCAGATGGGAGCTTCTATCAAAACAATCCACTTTGTCACCATGCATTCCCATGTTCTGAAATTACTTTATGGCAATGTAACATGACATTGGTATAAAAGTAATACATCAAGTACTAAAGTTGCATAATGTGCCTCACAATCACCAAGATACCAAAGCTAGAAAGAAGAAAAGAAACTATGGGGGAGATGTCTAGAGACTTGAAAAGATCTTGATGTACACACAAAGGAAAGGTAACCATGAAGGCCAGAACTGACACATTTCCTGAGAAATCAATCTGGGTCCATCCTTCCACAGCCAAAAGCTATCACATAGAGGAAACAATTCAACAACTGCAAATGATAAGGCTCAGGAATTTCAGATTGTTTTTCTGTTGAACTCTTTGTCTTGTCCCAATGGCTCCATAATCAAAACTTTGAAAACTTAGTCTATTTTAGGAATTTTGATATATTTTGCTTTTATCTGATATTGATATATATGCCCCTTGAAGATGTGTCCAGCCTCTCAAGGTGGGAGTTTCCAAGGATTCTCTGCCAATAGCCAGATTCACTGGAATTTTTCTGTTTAAATGTGCAGTTTCTTTCCTTGTTCTATTTTCCCTGGCAGAGTAGATGAATATTTCTCTGAATATTTTTCTATTTCCTCTGTCTAAGCACCTCCTCTTTTTTTTCTTTTTTTCCTTTGTGTAAGTTTGAGGTTAATTTTGGCTTTGTTTCTTAGTTGGTTCATTATTTTTATGGTGTGTTGGTTGATTTACCTCAGGAAACATACAGATTCAGTGTTGAAGAGGAAGTTTGAAACTGATAATGTTCTTAGAGCATTATCAGATGCTTCTGTATTCACTTAGAAAATATTCTGAGATAAGGTATAACTTAAATTAAATTCAAGGCCAAAAGTCATAACTGGTGGAAACAGTTTTGTATTTTATTTTCTATTAAAATCTAATAAAATAAATGTTTAAAACTGTCAGATGCATGGAAATATTTAAAAAGTGTGTAATGTTGCCCTTCAGTAAAGAAGAATGATGAGGAAAGAAGTAAACACACCTATTCAAATAGCTATTGCGTGACTACTTTCTGTTTTTCAAGAACAGAGCTTCTGCCTTTTTATTTTGTGCCATAGTAAATAGGTTAAGTTTCCCATCAATATGATACTGTAGATACCATTCTTTGTTCAGTTTGGTTGCTGTTGTTTCATATATAACTTGCTAGAAAAATCTTGAAGACAAATATTTAAGAGTTAAATGGGAAGACTGAGTTTGTAAGGCAAAATGTAGATTTTTTTTCTTTTCAGTTACTCCATTTTCCTTTGCCAAAGACCCTTTTCTGAGCCAATTACATTGGAGAGGGATCTTTCCCTTCCCTTTGTCTCTAAGTCTCTAAATCTTTGTCTACATTGTCTGGAGATAAAAATTTGTAAAGGTAGTGCCTTTGAAATGAATTCATCTCAGAGACTGTAGTGTTTCTTCTGTATGATATATACCTACATCGTTGCTTCTGTGGGATTGTTTATCAATAATCAAAAATTATTGTATTTCACATTAAATTCATAACTTAGAGCTATATATATAGAAACGTCTCATCTTTCCACTTTTATCTTGGTATAACTAGGCTGTACAAAGAATGCTTTTAGGTGTTTGAGGTCTGCTTCCAGTAAAGTCCCACCTAAATTTGAACATCACAATTTTTGATACCTACCTACTTCTCAGTGCCAAATTACTAGCTATGGATCTTGTTTTTATCAAGAATTTAGATTAGAACCTCACAGGATAATATTTAAAATATAAAGATTCTCATTCATCACTACATGTTAGCAGTTATTAGCCAAAAATTATTTTTTAATTATTTAACATAAAGTTAGAAAGTTTTTGAATTCCACATTCTCAAATATGACAAGATTTTTTTTTCTTAAATGTGTCACATGCAATACTGAAGTACATTTATCCCTGTGATATAACTTTGCTATTTCCCTAGGGATCTTTTCATTACAATTTTATAAGGTGGGTAAACATTAAAGGTTATTCAATAAACATATTAATGAGGCCTCCAAGCACATTTTATTCTATAAATTATTCAAAAATTTTTGAAAATCTAGATTCAAAAACAAGCTACTTGGGGGCTGGGGATTTAGCTCAGTGGCACAGCACCTGCCTGGTAAGCACAAGGTTGTAAGTTTGATTCCCAGTAACAGAAAAAAAAAAAAAATCCCAAGCTATTTATTTGGGAGGTGAGGGGAAGTGATCCCAACAAATACCTATAGAGAGGCAAAATATGCCAACAAATGAAAAGAATACAAGGCAGGAAGCATTATTTAACCAGCTACCATGACAGGCAACTGGAGGTCAGTTCTAGTGCAGAACCCTTTACAGGGGCTCAGCCACCATGCTTTACAGAAGTGAAAACATCCATAGGTAGAAAGTTACAGCATCTCCCAGCAGCTAGTCTTCACCATGTATGTATGACTACCCCACGGGATAATGCAGGGTATTGTTAGCTGCTAGTGGGGAGAATGCCACTTTGAACAGCATAGATAGATAGAATACAGATGGAAGGAAATCACATGATGTCTATAAGGATAAAATGAGATGGAAAAGCAGAACCATGTGAAAACATGAGTTACAACCACATAGAGGCCCAGTAGATACAGAAGATAAAAATGGCAGATAGGTTTAAAAAGACAAGCTGGATACTCATGCCTACAGTATTTGAATTTGGTGAACTTTGACATCTACTGTGATATGTAAAAGCTACTGTAAAAGACTTGAAAATGGTTCTCTTCATCAAAGTTACTTTTTTTTTTTTTTTTTTGATTTTTGGTTTTTCTCCAGTACCGGGAACCGAACTCATGACCTTGCGCTTGCCAGGTAGGCGCTTTGCCGCTGAGCTAAATCCCCAGCCCCCGAAGTTACTTATTGATTGGAGTCATTTGTATATATTTTAAAATTAACAAATCTTTCAAAATCTATATAAACTATCAATTATATATTGCTTAAAATATTGCACCAGTGGTGGGGAGCACCGGTCTTCTGACTGGCTCACTTCCTGCCTCTTAGGCGCCTGGAAGGAGGGCCCCTGGCGCAGGGTAAGCCAGGCGGCAGTGATCGCTGTTGAGCGCCGGCCCTCAGGCCGGCCACCATCGCTTGATTGAGAACTACCATGAAACAGAGAAACAATGACACAACTGGCCCACCATGCACCAGTCGCAGATGCCCACCCACGGACGTGTGTGAACCATTCAAACATGGAGAAACCCCTGGGAATACGTGCCATACAATGGGCCACTCTTGCTCGTGCCATTGAGAACCAGAAAGGTCCAGAGTCAGTGGAGGAGCAGCTGCTGAACAAGGACTCAGAGAACATGAGAATGCAGACTAAGCCCGAGGAGTCAGAGGTC